GGCCAGGCCACCCCCGGCCCTCCTGTCTGGGACCACAGCCCAGCAAGGACCGGGGCAGCATCTCCGGAAGGCCCCCTGCCCGGCTCAGCCCAGGAAGCCGAAGGCGGCCTTTGCCTGGCTCCCAGCCTCTGGCACTGTGCCGCTCCCTTCAGACTGGCAGCGGGGTGGTGGGTGCAAGGCTCTCCCCCATGCTGACCTGTCCGCCTCCCCTCCAAGCGCCCTGCCCTGCCCTGCCCTGCCCTGCCCCCCCAGAGAAGTTGCTGTCTGCAGGTAGCACTTCCCGGTGGGTGTTTAGCTGGTGCTCGTGGGCCGTCTCCCCGTCCCGTCCGCAGCTGTTTCCGGGACGCCCCGGGAGCCCCCGCCTGCCTGGCCCCGAAGACTGCAGGCTGCACCTCGCCTGCAGGAAGTTCGCTCCGGGACTGGGGAAGCTGACGCCTGCCGCCTTCCGCAGAGAAGCCCTCGCCTTCCCGGCGCTCCGCCTTCCCCTCTCTCTCGAGGGCTCAAGAGTGGCACGTGGCTCACGCAGCCGCCCCTCGCCACGAAGGCCAGCCGAGCCGCCGGTGCGGAGGCCGCTCAGCTCCTGACCCCCAAGCAGCTGCAGCCGTAACTGTGTCCGCAGACACTGGGCCACCCCCTCAGGTGCCTCGGAGGCCTCAAGGCCTCGGCCCGGGGGCGCCACGGCTGAGTCCCGGCCAGGCACAGCAGAGGGAAAGCGATGCCCACGCGGACCCTGGTCCCAGCACAGCGACCGACCGGGTGCCCTGCTCCCCGGAAGCGGTCCTCATTCCCAGTCTCTCCAGAACTGGCCTTCATTCCCAGTCTCTCCAGAACCAGTCCTCTTTCCCAGTCTCTCCAGAACTGGCCTTCATTCCCAGACTCTCCAGAACCAGTCCTCTTTCCCAGTCTCTCCACAACTGGTCCTCTTTCCCAGTCTCTCCAGGACCAGCCCTGTTTCCCAGTCTTTCCAGAACTGGCCTTCATTCCCAGTCTCCTCAGAACCGGTCCTCTTTCCCAGTCTCCCCAGAACCGGCCTTCATTCCCAGTCTCTCCAGAACTGGCCTTCATTCCCAGTCTCTCCAGAACCAGCCCTGTTTTCCAGTCTCTCCAGAACCAGTCCTCTTTCCCAGTCTCCAGAACTGGTCCTCTTTCCCAGTCTCCCCAGAACTGGTCCTCTTTCCCAGTCTCCCCAGAGCAGTCCTCTTTCCCTGGCTGCCCCCCCCCGCCCCCCGCACTGAAAGCCTGCAGCACTGAGCTGAAAGTGGCGACGAAGCCACGGCCTCTCCTGGCAGAAGGGCCACCCATGAGGGCTGCAAAAGCCTGAGAACGGAGCAGACCGGACACGCGGAGTCAGGGGCTCCAGCGCCACGCACGTGGACCCCACAGGGGCCTCCAGGGGGGCCCACAAAACTCGGCATTCCCTGCCCCCTCTTGTAAAACCTGGGGAGGGTGTGGGCGCAGGGCAGTCTTCTCGTTCCCCAAACCGACCCCCTGATCAGCTGCAAGGTGGGGGGGGGGCTTCCTGGCCCTGCCCAGCTGCCTGCCGGCCCACCCCTGGCGCCTGCATCGCCCCGCGGGTCTCCCACCCACCCCCACGGCTGCCATTTGTCTCTCTGCCCCACCCAGGGCCACCCCCCTCCCCTCCCTGCGCCTTGCTCTCCCTCCTGCTGGCTCTCGGCCCCTCTAGCCCCCCGCCTCGCCCCTCCTCGCCCACTGGCCACATGCTCCCAGGCCTTGCTCACACTCCCAGGCGTGCTCAGCAGTCCAGCAAGATGCGGCCCCCCGTCTGAAGTAATAATGCGCCCCCCCGGCTCCCTCGGCTGAACCCCAGCCCTGCCCCACCCCTCACAGTCCGAATCTGGGCCACCGGGCTTGTTCGACCCCACAGCGGCCCGGGGAGTGCCGCTGCTCCGGCGCCCTCCACGAAGGCCGCCCCTTCCCCGCATCCTGCACAGGCCGCCCCCACACGTCCCCCTGGCCACTCCGGCTGCGGCTCATGTGCTCGCTGGCTGGGA